ACTTCAAATAAAATGAACAAAAATAAGCATGCAAAATAAAAACTAAATAAAATTAACTACTAAAAAAACAAAAATACATGCAAAATAAAAAATTAATTTGAATAAAATGAACTTAATGAATTCTACTAGATAGAGCATGCAAGATAAAGAACTATTTCAACTACGGGGTCATCTTTGTCTTCTCCAACGTCGACCTGAAACAGATACGGTGGCAAACATATTAATAATGAGCAACTGAAATTAATTATATCAAGTATTCTCACCTTAATTAATTGTAGAACGTAACATTCCAAAGTTTACAGGTGTGAAAAGTAAACCAACTCCAACGAGGAATACTGTAGCAGAGAATTTGCTATTTCAGTGGAATTCAAATAAATATCCAGTTGCTCTCAATCTTGGGTTGAATATTAACTGCATGATGTTACAAGGTGAAGACGAAACAGCAAATCAAGAATATAATCCATGCATGACCACACCCATGTAGACATTGGCTGTTTCAGTATAACCAAACTGAACTTTAATTCTCTCCCATTTATTATATAACCTGCAGAAATGGATAAAAAACATATTAATTACACGTATAATTAAGAAACATAAATAAAAAGCAAATAAAAATAGCTCAATTATAAAATAACAAGCGTTACTTTCACGCCATTTTACATTACAACCATAGATCACGACATAAATAAATATCAAATATCACGACGTCAATTTACGATGCAGACAATAGAAAAAGGTTAAAACGAAACTCCATACATCAATGATAAATGTCAATCTCTTCTGTGGAAAATAAAAACTGTCAAAGAGATATAAATGCACAACCTCAACTTATACTGTTGACAATAAATAATTGTTACCAGAAATTTCATAACAGATTAATAAAGAGCAATTAATATTAATGAAGTCATGTATTCTCACCTTAATTAACTGTAGATCGTAATGTTCCAAAGTTTGCAGGTGTGGAAAGCAAACCAACTCCAGCAGGAGCACCATAGCAGAAATTTTGTTGTTCCACTTGAAATCAAATAAATCTTTAGTTTTTCCCACTAATCGCCCGAAAGTCAACTGCATAGTAGTGTTGCGAAATGAAGATGAAAATATCAAATCACAAACAACGTCGAGAAAAGACCACACCCATGTAGAGTGTAGACGGTTGCTCGAGTAGCGCCAAACTGAACTCATTTGTTGGGCAATCTGCAGAAATGGGCAAAAAAATATATTAATTACACTATCAAATAAGGAAGGAACTAAACACTCCTAAAAGTATACAACGAAAAGCAAGTAAATAGCTGAATTATAATGGGGACAACTGTCATTTCACATCATGACCCCAGATCATGCATGACATAAAGGCCAGCAATCAGAGATGTACGATGTCAATTTATGTGGACTATAGATATTTAAAGAAATGAAATACCGTAGATGCACGTTATGGTTAATTGAAACTGTGAACAAGAGATAATTGGTAAGACGAATAACCCTTAGGATCAATATAGAGCAACTAATATTACAAATGGCATGCATTCTCACCTTAATTAACTGCAGAAAGTAGCTTTTAAAAGGTCCACAGATCGAATGAACAAGCCAAATCCAGGAGGAATACCACTGCAGACTATTTGTTGTTTTAGTTGTTTCCAAATTAATATCCAGATGCCTCCTCCTCACAGGTTCAAAACTATGTTGCAAGGGTAAGACGTCAAAAGCATCAGCTCTTTCAGTACCATCAGAATTAATTCCTTTTCACTTGGACAATCTATACAAATGGGTAAGAAAACGTTGTTAATTACAACTTCTAAAGCATGTAAATCAGTAATATTTTAATGTGGCATTGTGGTGTTAAAGTTAGAAGGTAACTTTTGCACTGATGGAATAGCCAGCTCCACTGCCGCTTCTAAAACGTTGTTAAAAAGTTGTCTGACCAAAGTAAGTTACAAATGCTTAAGAAATTGATGTTTCTGGGACCTGGATTAATATTTTTAATTGATACAGTTTACTCACCAGTTCATTCGTCAGAAATCCTTCCTTCATCAATGCCACAATGTATCCCTTCTCAATGGAAAAAAGGCACTTTTGTGCTTCTTTTTAGGATAGCTACTTTCTGAATCGAATCAACACTGACACAACCAAGACACTGTAAATTAATGCCATCCAGGTTTTTTTTAATGTTCCTGTGAAATGAAATTTTATAAGTATTCAGATATAATTAATTAGCCTCCTTGGTAAATAACGTGCATGACACAATACTAAAGTTAATATGAAACAAATATACTAATTATGCCATGTATGCTCACCGTAATTAATTAGAAGATTCTCCAAAATGAAACGAAACCATGACGGGCAACTTGCTTTTTTTTTCAGTTGCATCAAAATGAACACTCTTCCATTCTTATTTATCATCAATCTGTAAAAATTGAGAAGAAAAACGAATAAACTACATTATTAAACAATTAAAACACGAAATACAATGAAAGTACGCACCGAAAAGCAAATAAAATTTCAAAATTTTAAAAATGGCGACGTAACGTCGTTTTTAATAAAAGATGGCAAGAAGATGGACAAGACCGTGTAACACAGCAAGATCTATAAAATCCATAGATTCATAAATAATTGTCAATTTATGCTGCGGATATATAGATAACCATGAAGGAAAAACCTATAGAGCCTAGATGGAAAAGCAAATCACCAAGTCAACATTATGTATTTTACGTCTGTTCTTACTATATTCTTCCTCACTTCCCTAGAATCTTTAATAGATGTTCTCTTTGAATATTTGTTCTCTATGAACTCTCATGATACGAGTCGACAAATGTAGTGGCGCTATAAGCGCTAATTTGATTTTTTCGGAAAAAATTTAAATAAACTGAAATTTTGTAATACATACAATTCTAACAAAATAACGGGTGGTTCGACATTCTATTAACAAAAAAAGTAATATATGTTCGCCACCGCATGCATAATGTGCCAGGAAATTTTATGTTGCGAAAATTGACAATAAATTAATAATACACAATATTAATTGTACTGTATATGCTCACCTTAATAAAATCGAAAGAGAATTTTAATTTTGCATGCAAGGATGTTAAAATGAACATAGCTTTCCTTTTTTATTAGACCATTTGTCAAGCACAAATGCCACGCAACAATTGGTGTCAATTAAATTAGCATATCTTCAGTAGTTTTTGA